GAAGCTGAGCAACCGTGATAGGCTCAAACCTGAAAGCATTGCCTTACTGGTGGTGTGTGTCCTCATCATCCTGGAGAACACTGTGGTTCTGCTTGCCATTTGGAGGAATAAAAAGTTCCACCTGCCCATGTATTACCTGCTGGGAAACCTGACTCTGTCAGACTTGCTGGCTGGTATTGCCTACATGGTCAATATCCTCCTATCGGGAAAAAATACTTTAAAACTGACACCAGTGATGTGGTTCCTCCGGGAGGGAGGGGTCTTTATCACTCTGGCTGCCTCTATAATTAGTCTACTAGCCATTGCGATTGAACGCCATGTCACTATGGTGACCATGAGGCCGTATCATGGGGCAAAGCGGGGACGCATGTTGGCACTAATTGGTGCGAGCTGGGCCGTGGCAGGGTTTTTGGGAATCCTCCCAATATTGGGATGGAACTGCATCCGCAGACTGGACCAGTGTTCAACGGTGCTCCCGCTTTATGCCAAAAGCTACATTCTGTGCTGTGTGTCTGTTTTCAGCGCTGTGCTCTTGGCCATCGTGGTGCTTTATGTGCGTGTTTTCCGCATCGTCCGCACCAACACACAGCGCCAGCGGCTCGGCTTGTCAGGCAGCATAAGGAAGGGCTTAGCCAGGAAGTCAGAGAAGTACATTGCTCTCCTCAAGACAGTCACCATTGTCTTGGGAGTCTTCATCGCTTGTTGGCTGCCCCTTTTCATTCTCCTCCTGATAGATTTTTCCTGCCCCATCCGTGGATGCTCTGTGCTCTACAAGGCTGAGTACTTCCTGGGAGTAGCCATTATCAACTCGCTCCTCAACCCCATCATCTACACACTGACCAGTAAGGACATGAGGAGGGCCATTCTGAGGCTCCTCTGTCGGCCGTGTCTAATGACGTCGGATGGGCAGGTGAAGAAGATTGGGATGCCATTCCTGGAGTGCAGTTTCAGTAAAACTGAGGTGGCCTCCCAGAAGTTAGAACCGGGTCTGGAGACCACCATTTCGTCTGGAAATGTCATCACCACTCCATCTACAATTAAAGCCCTATACCCCAAACTTTTCAAGTCATAAAGACTTTGACTGACTGTGTCCAAAATGTGTAAATGGGTTTCCCGCTCAATAGAGGATATGTAGCACATACACTATTGAGAAACAGTTCTGTGGTTGTTTTTTTTTCAAAGAGACAAAGAAAGGGGGGCGTATGAAAGACGATGACTCACCTTTGACAGTGTGGCGCAGTTATGGCAATATAACTGAATCACCGAATTTCATTTTGATGAAGCATACCAAACCAGAGAGCAAAGGATGTATTTCAAATGTGAACACGTAATGGTTTTTATGTATATGATGCTAGCAATATGTCTCCTTTATTAATTTGCACTGACATATGCAACCTTGGACTCAATTATTTTCCTGGGCTTCTGTATTTTGTGTGAAGCTTAGAAGGATGCTTCTGTAAACTCAAAGAGTGAAAGACTGAAAACTATGTACTTGCTGGAATAATATGGAGGCTAACGTTTCTCCTCTTGCAGTTTCTTAAGTGCCTTAAAGTCAGAATTAAAACTCCTAACAGTTACAGTGTGTAATCTGCAGACACCTGGATTTCGCTGGTTCGAAGACTGATCGTGTGCTAGATTTGCACGCGTAGATGTTTGGTTACACATATCTGTGTATGTGATGCAAAGGAATTAAGTTGACAGGAAAGAGGTGGCACCCTTCTTGAAATTACTGAATGCTGAATGCAAATAAAGTATGTGGGAGAGGAGGTGCGGAATTAAAACCCCCTGACAGTTTTGAAATGACAGATGGTTAACCTATCTGCGGTAGACGTGGAAAGTTGTTGGGGTCGTGTCCAGTTTTTTTGAAATGTCAGCCTGACATCTGCAGTAAAAACTGCTGCATTTACAAAATGTCAGCATACTTAGCATGGGATTAACTGAAAGATAATGTTACAAGTAATGTTTACTTTCCACTGGCTGACAGCTTAACTCCAACTGAAACCAAATCAGCTGCAGTTGCATCATGTCAAGGCTCTTTACATTGCAGCTTGTGAAGAAGACAACCTTAGGAAAACGTTCATTCAGCTGCATCACAATTTTTATGGATTAAAATAATTCTGCCTTTGTAAGTTACAGATCATTCTAATCTGGTATAAATTTACCGAGCAATTGTTTCAGTGCTTCCTTTCATCGTTCATCAAGTTAACAGAACATTTCAGTTAAAGGTACTGAATGATTTTTTTTCTTACGTCATTCAAGACTTTAATTGATTAAATGAGGTTGTGGGTTTTTTGTACTAAAATGTATGCAGTGAACTTGATGTATTTGTGAGCATATTTTATATATCTCTATTGTAAATTATATATATATTTTGTAACAAGAAAACGTTAGCAAAATTTGTGTTTCTTTTCATAAAAGAAATAAAGTGTTTCTCTAAAACATTCCAATGGGTTTTCTATTTATTTTCACTTTTAGTACCCTGCAGCATTCTTAAGTGCATCAGTGTGTATTACTGTGTTAGTGTAGCTGTGGTTAAGCGAAGAAGTATCGCAGGAAGTCAGCCTCCCTCATTTCACATCTGGTAATGGCATTGACCTATATACTTCAACTTTAGCCCGTCTCAGTATGGCTTAACCTCCACACAATGCCTCTTTTAAATAAATACTTCTTAACCAGTGGTTAAGAGTTACTATCACCTCACACTAATCTGGCCTCCACATTGCCAGTCATAGTTAACAGCCGTGTAATCTCTCTACATGTTATGTATCCAGTTAAGCTACAATGGAAAGATACTGATTGATTTGCAGAAAACTAAAAGAAGCTGCTAAATGGTTTTTCAGTTGTTGTTGTTGTTGTTGTTGTTTTGTCAGGCCACTGTTAAAAAAAAAGTCAATAATGCAAAGCACGTCTAGTGTGACAGACAGCAGATTTTTTTCATGTGATTTTAACTGTCTTTGCCCTAAAGGCATTCTGCAGTCAACCATAAACCCGTCTTCCAGGGGTTTGCTGTATCCACTGTGCCTGCTGGCAGAGGTCATCAAGTCAGGGAATCTTTCCTGTCTTCCAGCTTGATTTTTGCTGCAGCAGACTCAACTGTTCGAAGTCATGACCACCAGTGACTTTTAAATAAAAGAAGTTGGTATGTGGTTTTTCAGGGTTTTTTTTTAAATGTCACACCACTGTTAGAAATAAGCTGTCAATAACGCCCAGCACACCAAGTGTAATAGTGCACCCAATGTAACCTTTAATAAACACTGAACAGTAAGGTTTTGTTTTGTTTGTTTGTTTTTTTTCCTGTCAACCAGTGATTAAGAATGACTATCGCCTCACTCTCACTGGCCCTTCACATCGACTATAGTTAAAATAAGGAAAAATTACACAGCTGTTATGTATCCAGCTAATTTAGCTCCTATAGCAAGAAAACTGTGTTTAGTGCCTGCATTTATCTCTACATTTGCAGGCACTAAACACAGTTTAGTGCCTGCAAAAGTTTGGCAGTTTAGTACTATAATACTGCCAAAGTTACAGTTATGAAGACATGGTTTTTAATGCTAACATGCAAATCTGGTAAAGACTGTTGGTTGATTTGCATGAAGCTAAAAGAAGCTGTTAAGTTCTTCACTTGTTTTTCAGTTGTTGTTGTTTTTCGTCAGGCCACTGTTAAAAAATGTCAACAATGCAAAGCAGGCCTAGTGTGATAGATAGCAGATATGTCCTTGTGATTTTTACTTTCTGTGGCCTATAGACATAAGCCCTGCCTGATGGTGCTAGAATAACTCTGATATGATTTGTACAGTGCAGGTGTTCCTCCAGATGTTTGCTCTATCCATGAGAACTGTGCCTCCTGGCAGAGGTCAACAAGTCAGAGAATCTTTCCTGTACTCTGGCTTCCATTCTGCTGCAACAAACTCAGCTGTTATAAGTTATGACCTTTGATAGTCCCTTGATGCCACAGGCACAAATGAAAAACCTGTACTTTTCCTTGCTCTAGCAGAATTTGGGAAATTACAGAGCTGGGGAACTGATAGTCCAAGTGTGAGTGCACTCTTAACCAACACTTGGACTATCAGTGTATAGGAAGCATCCATCTAGAAGAGCAGTTTGGTGCCTCAAGGCTTACTTCAGCTTTTTCCTCTGATTGGATCTTTACGCAGACACACAACAGAGTCTTGGGGGAACTCTAAGTGGTGTATGAATCATGACTTGTCATTTCATATCTAGGATTTGCCTGTCCTTTCAGCGTTAAGGTGTATAGATGGAATGTTATCATGGACTGCTTGATGTGATGAGTGGTGAACTGTGGTTGCAGAGCAACAGGGCTTAAATGTCTTGGTTATATTATGGCAGCTCGTTCCACAGGAGTAAACTCAAAAGTGAATGTTTATGCTTGCAGTCTCACAGTTAGCTTTTGGTGCCACCTTTTGGCTTTTAGGCAGAACATCAAATTCTGTGACCTGAATTACGTGTTTTGGAAGGAGGGGAAAAAAACCTTAGTGGTGTGTCAGCACTGCAAACAGATTCCTCCCAAGCTCCTGTGCTATGTAGGAGTCATTCATGTTTTAAAGCAGAACTGCAGGAACATTATAACCATGTCTCTAGAGCACACACCATTATGTCTGAGCAACATAGTGATCGTTAAACAATGCCAGTTTAGTAATTTCCTGCTGGGGTTTCAACAATTACTCATACAGTTTTAAAGCAGTGTTACTGCATTATTCTAGTTATTTTCTCATAATGAGATCCCTTTTTAAGTTGCTAAAATAAGTACCTGTTTTGCAGTTTTATCCTCTATATGGTATTTATAACAGATTTTGTTTGACGTTAATGCTGCAGTTTTTGGCTCCCTGCCAAAAATTGGCCCAGCTTTTCCTTCGTTTTAAGAATTCCTTCTCAATAAAAGTCCCCTCCCACGGGGAGCGTTTGTCTGCCATTAGTAATAAACAGAGGCGGGCCAACGCTTTGGTGGCGAGCTCTTATTGTGAAGGCGAGATGAGGCCGGTACAATGCTTAGTCACGCTGAGTTACAGCTTTCCCCTCCTTTCTGTGTGGCTCGGGGCTCGGCAGACCGCGATGGAGGAATTGTTCTAGACTACGGTAATTCTCTGTTATTCCAAATTTAAGGAGCCATTAGTAATTAATGTCAGTTGTTTGGACATATCTGGATTTTGTGCGGGCGGGTTAGCAAGAATATATTTTGATACCGCTTTGTTAGCACGTTTGTTACGAGCTCGGCTCACAGCCGTTACTCTACTGTCTATTATTAGGAGCCTATTTTGCTGTCAGCTCTGTTTCCGAAACGTTTGACTTGTTGTTTTGATGGGGATTACGGCTCTTTCATCGTGAGACCTTCTGAGTTCACCGTCGTTGCAAACCCACCAGAAACCTGCAGCCGATTTTTCTTGCTCTCCTCTACCTTTGCATGCCAGGTCTGTGGATTATTTTTGTTTTACAAACGCAAGCTCAGAAATGATCCTCGTAGAGGACACACGGTGGCTTTTTGTGTGCTCTTCATGTCAGGTAAATGGCGCGGAAATCCAAGTCCATCAGGGTTTATGTAAGGGACTGGCTTCACTTCTGGGTCATGTTTTGGTACATCCAGTTCCACTGTTTGCTCGGTGAAGAGTTCACGATGAGTCACCGAGGAGAGCTGGTTGCCAAAATGCCCGAGAAACGCGCTGGACTCTGTACTAGTGTTTGTTTCACTTCTGGCTCGATTGCGTTTGCTGGCTTTGTAGCACAAAATAAAATAAAAATCGCTGACACAGCTGTAGGTGTAGCTCAGATCAAACTGTTAAACTTGTAGAGTCCCTCCAGTTGTTGTAAGACACCCAAGACCTGTAGGCCTGAAGGGTGGCACGCAAACCGACGTGCGGGGTCTCTGTCAGGGGTGAGTGTGCATCTTTATTACTGTGCTGTTGATGAGCCAACTTTCTTGTCAAGATTAGGGTTGCAGTGGAAGATTTTTAGCAGCATCAGCATAAATCGCTGGTTTATCGTTCACGTTCGTCTTTTAAAGATGTATACTGGACATTTTCAGTTTCTGTTTGAGTTCGTCCTTTAGTAAGGATTTACTGCTGCCAACTCCTTGAAACTTCCTTGTTTAGTGTCACCGTCGAGTGACAGTTTAATTGCACTTCTAGAACCTGTAATGAACAAGTTTTTTTTCATGTTAGAGGAGTAAAACCCTCCAGATGTTTGCTAGGAGTCATTTGGCTTATGGCATGTGAAATTTCAGGATCTCCCACATGTGTAGGTTATAAAATGTCTTAATAATAAATGTTATCATAGTATGTGCAGTGTTTGTCAGCTGATTCATCAATTGATTAATTCAACAACAGATACTATCTTTAGAGTGGCTTGGACCCATCATACCCAAAAACGTGTTTTTATTATTGATGAAATGTCAGAGAAATGCAGCAGGTATAGTGTGGGACTTGGAGAGCTTGTTTGTCAGTGAGTCGTTTCTGTCTGCTGTGGAAAGTGGGCGAGTTGAGCAATATGTTCTCCTGTGAAACTATTTCACCCAGAATCCTGGAAGGGGGGAGGCACAGCAGTAAATGTGAATCGCGGTGTGTTTCATATTACAGCGAGCTTAACTGGCTGACTTCCTCATGACGAGTTCCATCATGGTCACTGACGTGTTCCCATTTGTTGGTAAAATGAAAAACTCTCAAACTGAGTTTGGTTTTTTTTCCCCCTTAATCTTTAATGATTGCAAAGAACACGGTAACCTATTTGCAGATCGGAAAGCTACAAGGTCATAGAACCTGGCCTTTTGTTTTGCGTCCTTTTATCAATGCTTCACGTAACGATCAGTGTGCGTGTGTGTTTGTGTTGGTGTGTATACACAACTCACGGGTGCTTTGTTATATAACTGAACCCTCACAGCAGCATTGTTGCTGAGTAATTCAGACTCTTCCTGATCAGAGGGCTCCAAACAGACATTAACCACATGTTTCTTGTATTGTACGTCAATGTTGCAGGCAGTTCATATTCTGAAAAGAAGAAGTGGGATTGGAATAAAAATGAAGGCATTAAATTTTCAACTTAATGGGTTCAACGTAGTGGATCTGATCCCACATATTACCTGTAGAAGTATTTGTTTGTAAGCCAGTCTGCAGAGCCAGAGCCCTCTCCTCCTCCTGGATTACTCCGATAAAAGTACCTCTTGACTCTGATTAAAAGATTGTTTTGTTTTCTTAGCCTAATTTGGTTTAAACATGTCTGGAAGATGCTGCAATGGATGTACTTGGATTCTGCTGTTGGTTTGAACAAACTGTTCCCTCTGTTCAAACCCCCAGTGGATTGGCAACAGGGCAGAGCAAGAGCACACTTACTCATGCTGGCCTGTTAAATTAAAGCCTAATTTAAGTCACGACGTTGTCCTTCAAAATGAGCAGCACTCCCTAGCTGCTGCTTACACACTCACTTACACTTACTTGCTGTTTTGCTTATATTGTTAGCCTCTCTATGTGGACGTTTTTTACTTTTAAAAGTAGTGAAAGTAATAGGTAGGATTCCAGGCACTTGAGTTCCTCACCAACAGTTTTTCTTTTGCGTGTTTCACTTCACCCTGTCTTTTATCAGCTGTGCACACTACCTGTGTGTGAAGCGATGCCAGATAAGGAGAAACTATCATGACAAATGAAAACGCATTAGGCTACGTTCACACTAGCCCGGATAGATTTGAAAACGGCGTCCACACTAGCATTTTCAGTCATTTTCACGCAAAAGCAAGTGAGAACTAAAGAATTTGAAGAAAAGCTATCCGGAGCATGTACAAACTGATATTAATCTTTTTTAGGGCTGTCAAAGTTGAGAGCAATCAAAACAACTGCTGTATAATGCACTCGGCTATCTTTGTTTAATTGCTCACATGACTGCATCACATGACTAAAATGCGTCATTGTTTTAGAAAGTCGTTTTCAAGTGTCCACACTGCGACGGGACAGCTCCGTTTTGAAATGTATGTGTTTTCAAGAGCATTTTCAAAATGCTGCGTTTTTTTCTTGGGGAAAACGCCGTCTCGGTGTGGACGGGAGGTCAAAGCGGAGAGAAAACGATGCGTTTTCAAAACACATTAGTGTGGACGTAGCCTGACTGTGCATCTGCCCTACTTAAGAGCACCTGTTGGATAAGCCCTTACAGCTATTGTAGTACTCCCTTTGTTTTTTAAATTGTCTTGGATTGCAAACAGAATTAGTAAAGCAATGTTTTAAATCAAGCCTGATAAGTATTTTTCGTTACTCAAATACAGTGTATTAAATAAACACTGTTCCTGGATTGGTACCCAGTACCAACACATACCTTATTATTGTATGTTGAGTTGAGGTAATCGTAGAGCTGGGCGATATGAGATTTTTTCATATGATATGTTTTTTTTTTCATTTCAGGCGATAACGATATCTATCACGATATAAGCCAAATAACTATATTTGTAAGATTTAAATGTGCCGTTGCTCACAAGTAAAATGTGAAATAATCAGCAGCTTGTTTTTATTGAAATATTTATTTCCCATAATAAGTTCAACAGGGTAGATGTACTTAAGGAACATGAGACTTTTTCAGATAAATAAAGGCAAATATTGCAAACTACACAAAAGGCAGCCGCTAAAGCGTTTAAGTTTCAAAATAGAACAAACGAAACAGACTAAATTGTCATTTCCACTTAGAAACAAAATATTAATTCTAAAAATAAATCTTAGTTTGTTTTACAGAAGAACAGACAAAACTGACTAACTTTTGTCAATATCAAATAAACTGAGAACTAAAAGGAAATTCTCAATCTCTCCTTGTTGTATAGCTGAGCTTTTCAAACAGTTTTAACAGTTACTTTAGTCTGACAAAAGCCGAATGACGAATTAGCGCTTCCAGTCAGAGACTGAGGCTACGTCCACACGTACACGGGTATTTTTGAAAACGGAGATTTTCCGTTTTCGTTTTAAAAAATAATCCCGTCCACACATAAAGGCAGAAATTAAGGAAAACGTTGCTATGAACATGCCAAAGCAGCAGGTGGCGCTAGATTCCTAACCGTGCCGAAATGTTGGCCAATCAGAAGTCTAGAAGCCTCGGTGGGAAAAAGTAAACAAAGCTGGGGCATAGAAGCAGAACCGAGTCGTATGTGTGGACGGACAGTAACTGTGTATATGTAAGCATTTAAACACTGCAGAGAGTAGAATTAACAGTATTGTAGAAATTCATTTCACCGAAACAATAACGTGGCGCACAGTGTGACGCATGCACCAGTTTATTGTATTTCCAGACTTGCTTTCGGCACAATTTACAGTGCACGCTACTCTGTTTTTTTGTCAGACTTGAAATAGCCGAAATACCTTCACACTACAGAACTTCTATGGCTCTTCCGTTCGACAATCTCTCCGGCATTGGAACCATCATCTGTTTTCTCTTCGGTCACGCTCGGTTGATTTTTCTAGTCGGCACACTCATTTCCTCCATTAGGCGCTGGCTCCATTACCCGCTGGCTGCTTCCCAAACAAACACACGTGCGGCTTGGCACTTGTGCTGTACGTAACAAGTCACGCGACGTGACGCTGCGGCTGTGATTGGTTCGGCTCTGCGCTACTTAATTTGGATTGGCTGACCTTTTTTTTTTTTTTTTTTTTTTAAGAGGACAAGACCGGCGAGGTCTATTGCGATAGCTTAATTTCTCTATCGAGTAAAAGTTATATCGCGATTCATATCGTTATCGTTCTATCGCCCAGCTCTAGGTAATCGTGTCGTATCAGAACTGGGGTAAAAAACAAAACAAAACTGGATCCGTGCATCAGTATTGGCGACTGATAGAGAGAACTAGAGTTTGGGACTCATAAAAGCAGAAGATGGTATTTTTTTTAATGAGCTGCATAGTCATCGTTACAAAGACAAAGCCTTGACTGTAAGTGGAGTGCATGAGGAAGAATGACAGAGAATTATGTGTCACTGCATTGATAAAGTTTTGTTGTATGAGTTCATAGGTAAAGAATAGTGCTGAATCACTCGCTATGCAAGGCATTGATGTACGTATGTAGACAGAGCAGAGAAGCAGAGTTTATCAGTATGAAACAAACACATGCTCTCTCTCTTTCTCTCCCCAGCTGTCAGCTGAACCAACTGCTTCTTAGTAAGTAAACAAACAAATAGGTGGGCATCCTCAAGGAAGGCTTCTCCAGAGAAAACAACGAAACACCGCTACCACTTCATTCCTAAAGGCTCAACTGCCTCACCTGGAGTCTCGGACTCTGAATAGCTCTTTTGAAGACAGCTTTGATTATTACTTTTTGTAACAAAGCAATAGATTTTATTTTTATTTTTTTTATCACTGTGCAAGATTGATCTGCACAGTTTGTGAATCTGGCACAGCTCTTGAGTTGTTTGATTGAAGACTTTTTGAGCAGTCAAAATATATTTGATTAGAAGGCTCAGAGGAAGACAAGATAACAGAGACGTACTGCAAACTGACTGTTTATATTGCTGGGTATGATTAATACGTTTCTGCTGAAATAATAGAGAAGTGGAAAGGAAAGCAACTGTGTTGCCAACACAAACAACTGATCTGAGTCTGGAGCAGTTCTTACTTTGCCTGCTATTCTCTAACTCTTTCTCTGAAAAGTTAACCTTCAAACAAAACCAGAGGGACCCTTAATTCAAGGCATTTTAATTATGTTGGAACTGCAGCATATATTAGTACATGCAGCCATGAGTGGCAGCCTTGCATTCAACGCTCTAGTAATGCCATAATGGGGCGAATGGCTGGACTGAAGTACTGAACATAGCAAGGAAATCCCCATGTTTTTATAAACAAGACATAACTCTTTTACTCATAGAAAAGTCAGGAGGGCCTGGAGCTTTCTGTTTGGCTGTCTACCAAATTCCTCAAATTAAATTCTTTTATTTCGACCCATGCCTGCATGTGGTGCAAGGATGCCCCATAACGCCGTCCACTGTTCTTGAGAAGGCGACCAAAGAGGAGGAGAAAGGGTAGGAAATGACGGAGTGTTTGACAGAATACAAAGCGCTGGTGACTCCGTCCACGCGCAATGGTCACCGCGTCTTCAGCTACACGCTCGAGAGCCACACGTCAGCCGCCTTCGCCATCATGAACGAGCTGCGGCTGGAGCGGCAGCTGTGCGACGTCACGCTACGCGTGCGCTACAAGGACCTGGAGGCGGTGGACTTTGTGGCTCACAAGGTGGTGTTGGCCTCCTCGTCCCCGGTCTTCAGGGCCATGTTCACCAACGGCCTGAAGGAGTGCGGTATGGAGTTGGTGCCCATCGAAGGAATTCACCCCAAGGTTAGTCTGTTTTATCCTTGCCTGAATGTTTTATTTGATTTGTACTCATTTAAATGTAGCTGTAGTATTGTGTTTATTTGTTGTTGACTTCCGAATAACTAAATGGGAATCGAGTTACTCCTCTTTCAGCATAAACCGGCCTCACATTATTACAAGGAAAATCCAGTATGTATGGGAATTGTAACTTTAAAACCAAGCTGTATACCACAATGGGCTTTTCCAGCATTGTTAGAAAAAAATGGCTCCACTCCCACAAAAATCCTGCACTGCTTTAAAGTGAAACAAAGTCAGAATTGCTTTAAAACCCATACTCAGATGATCATACCTTTATAGATAACACCATCCACTGTTTTTCTTTATCATTTATCTTTGTACAAGTGCAATTAAAAGTCAAAACTAAATGAATATCAGCCTTACATCACACTGATTATTAACCAAATGGGTTATTCCAAGCATCCTGGAGGGTTTGCTACGATGCCTGCCCTTTTTAGTTGCTCTGTAGGACTCCTCCTTGTTGCTATATGACTGCATATTTGGATTTTACATTTTCTACATCACACTTTATGATTGTTAATGTCTTTATCTGAAGTGCCTAAAACATTTTTACGATACATGTAATTTATATTCGGAAAATGTGTGTACCCATGAGTTGAGTGCATTCCTCTTTTTTTTTTCTTTTTTTTTATCCTTTTTTTTCCATGAGCAAATAATATGTTCAAAGTAATTATGAGTCATATGTAAAAGTGCATAAATATTTTTCTATGGTACTCAGGACTGAAGCTCCACCTTTTTAAAAAGTAAGCTCTCTCTCTGTAAAACAGGTATGCACAGTGGCTAAACAGTTTTATCTTGACTTCCTTTACTTGTGTTGGGTGTTTACTGAGCTCACATAGAGTGTGATCGACACAATATCTATGACATGATAGCTTGTGAGATGCTAATCTGGGTTCCTAAATGCTGTTTAGCATAGCATTAAATAATTTTTCTCTCCAGCTTCTCTCGCTCTAATTTTCTCATCTGTGCACTGACCTCCCACAGTCCAACCCCTTACGTTGTGTCTTTTCACCATTTCAGGTAATGGACAGACTGATAGAGTTTGCCTACACAGCCAGCATCTCTGTGGGTGAGAAGTGTGTCATCCATGTGATGAATGGTGCTGTCATGTACCAGATAGACAGCGTGGTCAAGGCCTGCTGTGATTTCCTCGTCCAGCAGCTTGACCCCAGCAACGCTATTGGCATTGCCAGCTTTGCAGAGCAGATCGGTTGCACAGAGCTCCACCAGAAGGCCAGAGAATACATCTACATGAACTTCAGCCAGGTAAGGCTTAAATAGCATCTCGAATGAAAGCATTTTCGTTAGAATCACTGAACTGCATTGTTGGGCTGCACATGAAGTTGGAGCCACTCCTTGTAATTGTTTTTTCCTAATTTGTGGCGCTTAAGTAATGATTTTGTAACTTAGAAATCAAGAATTAAACATTCTACAAATCTGTTCAAGTTTTTGGGGCAGGAAATCTGTGTTTAAAGTGTTTTGAGGTCTGAGTAAACAATGTTTCACTTGCTGCATTGTGGTTTCTTCTGGTGGGTTCAAGCTATGAGTCCACTGGCAGACTCATAGCTTGAATTCTCTTCACAAGAAGGCCAAGAGAATTCAAGCTATGAGTCACGATGACTTGTGAGTATCTATGTGGGTTTACTGGTGGCTGAAGCATTACTGACTGCAAAAGATGATGATACAACACAGTACAAGAAATGAAAGGACAGTTAATATTTCTCCCTCATAAGGAGATAAGATCAAGGGTAGGTCCAGCTTATGACAAAGACGTGTCACATGTCTGTCTGTGAGGTTAAACCTATAAATGGTATAATATTCAATACATGCCTGCTCACCAGAGATTTGACTTTTTAAATATATTGTGGCTGTTAGGGTAGGAAACCAGTTTTCCTTTGTTAGAAAGAGATTATTTGTTGCAAGAGTTGGTTTTGTTCTCACCGTTATGTTATAATTGATCAAAATAAGCAAAAACCAACTGATAAAGATTACATGATTGATCCATAATTTAAAATAAATCTGTTTGTATTTGGAACAGACTGTGCACAGTTTAATTGATCCAGCAGTTACTTTAGGTAAGAAAATTAGATGAGAATTTGCTGCTGGTCTAGATTCCATTCAGTCATATATGTCTGGATTTTGGACTTATGCAGCTATCATTAGCTGTCTGGAAACTTTTAGCTCAGAAATATTAATCAGTTGTTTGAAAAATCTTTCCAGTTGTTGTAATTACTCACACCAGGTACTTTATTCTTTAACAACACGTGTATCATAAAAAGTTACTTTAAATCTGTACTCCTGCTTTCCAGGTAGCAACCCAAGAGGAATTCTTCAACTTGTCCCACTGCCAGCTGGTCAACCTGATCAGCCGCGACGAGCTCAACGTGCGCTGTGAGTCCGAAGTCTTCCAGGCATGCGTGGCCTGGGTGCGATATGACCGGGAGAACAGGCGACCGTACGTCCAAGCCTTACTCCAGGCTGTCCGCTGCCATTCCCTCACCCCCAACTTCCTGCAGACCCAGCTTCAGTCTCTGGACTGGGACCCACAGTGTAAAGACTACCTGGCTCAGATCTTCCAGGACCTCACCCTCCACAAACCCACCAAAGTGATTTCTTGCAGAACTCCCAAGGTGCCGCAGCTCATCTACACAGCAGGGGGTTATTTCCGTCAGTCGCTCAGCTACCTGGAGGCTTACAACCCTTGCACGGGAACCTGGCTGAGGCTTGCCGACCTGCAGGTACCCCGAAGCGGCCTGGCCGCCTGTGTGATCAGTGGGCTTTTCTATGCTGTTGGTGGAAGAAACAACGCGCCTGATGGTAACATGGACTCAAACGCTTTAGACTGTTACAATCCTATGAACAACTGCTGGCTGCCGTGTGCACCCATGAGCGTGCCCAGGAACCGAATCGGAGTCGGGGTCATCGATGGCATGGTATATGCAGTTGGTGGATCACATGGGTGCATTCATCATAATAGTGTGGAAAGGTAAGTCAAGTTGGCTAATAATGGAAGATGGTATTACTTTTATTACACAGACCAATTCTGCCTATTTTGAATTTATTCTTTTATCAATTATGTGTGTTTGAATGTAGAAAGAAAACCAGCAGTCTTTTACTGGTTGAATAGTTAAGTAACAATTACAGTATGTGGTCAGCACAGGTCATTTTAATGAAAGGCTTATGGTTGTGTCTGTCAAGAGAAGTAATCTGGTAACTTCCTGGAAACATTTTACTTCCTGCAATTTATTTTTAGATCACACAAAGCTGCTGTGAGGGTGTTTGAGTCTACAGGGAAATATTTTTGTAATATTAAACTTAGTGACAATTGAAAAGAGAAACAAGACACCTTTTGTTTCTCTCTCAATCTAAGCTTGGCACGAAATGCTTGTACGAACATTGTTATATGACCAGATCAAGAAGAACTAATACTCATTCTTTCTCAGATTGCTTAACATCTTGAGATAATCCTGCCGGATGCAGCTTTTAATCCACACCTGTGAAACGGCAGCTTTGTTTAGGTGCTTTCTGGTGTTGGGTATGAACAGTGACTGAACAACATACATTTTAATAAATGATAACAAAAAGGGAAGCGGAGAGCCCATCAATTCCCATGAGAAATATCCGAGGTGCCGTATTGGCCTTGCTCTGACTAACCTTGACATAAACCTGCCCCAGATTTTTCACTGCTAGCCATTTAAAACTGGGATTACGTACATTTTAATTCAAGGCAGAAACTTTACCCAAAAGTTGGCTTTGTTCCTAAAATAGAAGATCTTACGCAGGTAGCCCACAGTCTCGGTGAAAGAGGAACATGTCCAGCCAGTCTGAACAATCATGTAACATCCGAAAGCACATTTGACGCACTGTAGCACAACGGCTAACCACAGATACTGAGGAATGAAACTAATGAATCTGTGGTGCAGACTCCTGGCAGTGGTTCATTCATTGGGATGATTAGTTACAAGAGTTGGTTACATTTGCGATTTAGAAACCCGATAAGTAAACTGACTAATGTTATTAGTTGGCAAAAAGAAAACGGGAATTTAAAGCTCGGAAATATAGCGATAATTACTTTCTTTTCAAACTATGTAGCCTTCTTAGTTTGTGTTGGTTCTCCACAGGTATGATCCAGAACAGGATCAGTGGCAGCTGGTAGCCCCGATGTTAACACGACGTATCGGTGTGGGTGTGGCGGTCATCAACCGGCTGCTCTACGCTGTGGGGGGGTTCGACGGGGCCAACCGGCTCAGTTCCTGTGAGTGCTACAACCCTGAGAAGGATGAGTGGAAGACCATGGCTCCGATGAACACGGTCCGCTCCGGAGCTGGTAAGAAGGAATTGTAAAGCTGCCTCCTAATGATGAAAAACGTTTCTGAAAAACAATCAATTTACACAACTGCCTGTGCAGTTTTCCACCTGTGATTTGTAAAGATATGCAAGACTTCCTGCCCCTGCAGACCTTCCTGTTTTTGCTAGGTAGACCCAAGCAGTACTTAAACCAGACAGCAAGGGCAGCTTAATAGTGAGGCAAAGCAAATAAACAAAGATTTCAGGTAAAAAGCAACATTTCTCAAAAAAAAAGAAAAAACAATTGAGAAATTAGACAGAACCTATAATAATCTTGCAGTAGAGTGTATATGGAAAAAGTGAAGCCAAAATATCTAGGCATTTTATTGACGTCTTTTGGCAAGCTTTGAGATGTGAAATCCAACTGGACTCTGGGAAGAAACTAGTTACCTCAGCAGTTATTACTCATATCTAGAGAACAGACCCAAGACTTTGGCAGGAAGTCTTTATGTATGGATGCTTATTAGTACTCTTATTGATACTACTTTCCATATTTTGGTGTAAAATAAACAGAAGCGGGACTATGGCCCCTTTTGTCAAATTGGTAAGCTTAGTTTTGTGTTACTTTTTTAACTTCTGCGATAAGTTATAAAAGCAAGAACGTGTGTTTTGTAACGTGCATCTGGGGTTAACGACTGGTAACAGTTCTGACCACGTCAACACTGGTTATCGCTCTGTCCACAGTTTTGAACAGTGTGTCCTGTCAACCGTGACCAAAAAACACTGGATTCAAACAAACAGCAATGTTAAAGGTTATCGCTACAGCAGCAGCTTCCTCGTGATAGGGAGGTTAAAAGTTTGTAAACTTTAACTTTGCAGAGTACCAATAGCAGTGCCGTTTGTCAAGGTGCTTATCAGTACTTTGGTATACACCAGTCTCAAATTTTAACAATCAAATGCTGTTACTTGAAACCTGTGTGAAATTCAGTGATTGTGTGGGTCAGTCAAACTTCGATATCATGTAAATCATGTATCTGTTTGTAAAAAGACTTCCATTTGAATAGAAATCTAAGTGAAAATGGCCCTAAGCGACTTTTTTCTGTGATCTCAGTGAACTTTCCTCATGACTTATTAGGGCTCA